GGTTCACGTTCACGTGATGATATTCATGTTCATGTTATTACCGGTTTCATGTTCAGGTTATGTATATGCCAAGATCATGATGTTGTTATTATTTTCAATGTTTACATTAGTTTGAGTTTCCACGGAGCACAGTGTCATAGTGCTCATTTCCCACTGTCATCATGTTTTTCAGGTCAGGACGTCGGGCCGGGAGCGTGAGATGACGGAAGCTTCAGGACTTTTATGTTTTGATTGTGTATATATTATGACGATTTACGTTTCCGCTGATGATGGTTTAGATAAACTTATGTTTTGACCGGACTTTTGGAAAAATTATGCTTTCAGTAATCGTATGATTTTATTAAAAATTCAGATAACGGTTTTTCCAAAATAAGTCACGTTTTACGGTAGCCCCCCGAATCAGTTTTCGCAAAGTAAAAGATTTTATTTTTAAATAACTTTGCGAAATTTTCGCACTCTGATTTCACGATAAGGCGGGGTGTTACAATTGGTATCAGAGCACGTTTCTGCAGCTCTGAAAAATTTTTCAGTCAGTAATTTTTAGAAAAACCTAAACCGTCATGCTCTCGCCCCGCCGACTACAGGTAAGTGCTGATTTATGTTTTCAGTTATAAACATATTACTGTGTCTATGCTCAGAAATTATGGATCAGGATTTAGTTAAGATGCTCGAATCAGGTTCAAACTTTAGAGTTCAGATATAACTTTAGAATTCAGGACATTCAGATATGACTCTAGAATTAGTATCTTCAGATATGACTCTAGAGTTTCTCAAGATTCATGTCAGTATTTATCGGCCATTTTTGGCAACTCGTCAAGAGATCTGTATGTCTAAGTAATCAGTCAGGATATTATCACGTATTCAATAATGTTAACCTTTCTCAATGTTCAGATGCCGCCACGTAGGGAACCCGATCATCAGGCTCCTACTCAGGCCACCGTAGTCGCACAGTTCCGCGACTATCATGCTAAAAAATTCTCAGGGCAGGGAGATCCCCGCATTGTAGACAAATGGATTCAGGGCCTGGAATTTATCTTCGAGGTCATGGACTGTCCTGATAGGTATCGCGTAGTTTGCGCTCAGCTTCAGCTCACTGGCGATGCTCGGCTCTGGTGGAATGCCTACTGGAGCATGCGTCCCGATGAGAAAGCGGGATGTACGTGGGATATGCTCAAGGAGCTAGTCCGCGAGAAGTACTACCCCTCTTATTATCGGGCAGAGATGGAGCGTCAGTTCTTATCGCTCCAGCAGGGCACTCGTACAGTTGATGAGTACGAGCGAGAGTTTACGAGACTTGCAGCTTTCGTTCCGGACCTGGTTCGCACGGAGGCCCAGAGAGCACAGCGGTTCATCGACGGGCTTTACCCAGCAGTCCGTCATAACATTGTGGGACACGGGACACAGACCTACGCTCGTGCAGTTTCTATCGCCCAGGAGGTGGACGCTAGCATCAGGAGGGAGGCCGTCCGTGATCGTGCCCAGCCATCTGCCCCAGTTCAGCCATTCCCAGCTCCACCAGCCTTACCAGCTGCTCAGCCGGCAAAGGAGAAGAAGAGGAAGGGGAAGGGAGCACAGACTGACAGGAGGACCCGACCGAGGCAGCAGAAGGTTCTACCGTGCCCGACTTGCGGACGACTTCATCGGGGAGAATGCCACATGGGTCAGGACATTTGCTACTACTGCCACGAGCCTGGACATTTTGTGAGCCGCTGTCCGAAGAGACTTCACCAGCAGCCTCAACAGCCTCCGCAGCCACGACAGCAGCAGCAGCCACGTCAGCAGGCGCAGAGGCTGCCTCAGCAGCAGCAGCAGAGGGGCAGACAGTAGGCCCGAGTCTATGCGATTGATCAGGCCGAGGCAGCACAGCAGCCAGGTACTATGTCAGGGATGGTTGTGCTTAATGATATTCCTGTGTTCGCTTTGTTCGATACTGGGGCAACACACTCTTTCATTTCACGACGATGTCTTGATGCCATCGGAGTTCATGCCGTTACCGTTGTCGATCCTCTCGAGGTGAGTTTAGCCTCGAGACGAAATATAGTGACCTCAGCTAAAGCCTCAGATCTTAGCCTTTCCATCGGTGGTCGTTTATTGTCTACCGACGCGTTTGTTCTCGAGATGAGGGACTTCGACCTTATTCTCGGAATAAATTGGCTATCCTTTTATCATGCAGATATCAGGTGTCATGACCGGGAGATCACTCTCTATCTTCTGGGAGACGAGTCGATCACTTTCTTTGGCTCCAGAAATCGTTCATTGCCTCATGTTGTTTCGATGGCGAAAGCCACTAAGTTACTGCGACGAGGCAACTGCCAGGGTTATCTGGTGAGCCTTGTCGACGATTCTCAGAAAGCACGATCACCTCACGATGTTCCAGTTGTTCGTGAGTTTGTGGACGTGTTCCCAGACGAGCTTCCAGGAGGACCGCCTAACCGGCAGGTGGAGTTCTCTATCGATCTCATTCCAGGGGTTGGTCCAGTATCCAAAGCCCCATACCGTATGGCGCCAAAGGAATTGAAGGAGCTTAAGGCGCAGATTTAGGAGCTGTTACGACTCGGTTTCATCTGGCCGAGTGTGTCACCTTGGGGAGCACCCGTTCTCTTTGTCAAGAAGAAGGACGGAACCATGCGCATGTGTATTGACTACCGGGATCTTAACCGATTGACGATCAAGAACAAGTATCCGCTTCCCAGGATCGATGATTTATTTGATCAGCTGAGGGGAGCCTGTGTGTTTTCAAAGATTGATTTATGATCAGGCTACCACCAGCTGAAGATTAAGGAATCAGATATCGCTAAGACAGCTTTCAGGACTCGTTACGGCCATTACGAGTTCGTCGTCACGCCATTCGGTCTCAGCAATGCGCCAGCAGTTTTCATGGACCTCATGAATCGTATCTTCCATCCCTACCTCGATTAGTTTGTTATTGTCTTTATTGACGATATTCTTATCTACTCGAAAAGCCAGAAGGAGTACGAGGAGCATCTGAGGGTGGTTCTCGAAACCCTCAGACGAGAAAAGTTGTTTGCAAAATTCTCCAAATGCGAGTTCTGGCTCCAGCGAGTATCCTTTCTGGGTCATGTGATTACTCAGGCAGGTATCGAGGTGGATCCTTCTAAGGTCTCAGCTGTTCAGAACTGGTCGACACCGAGGAGTCCGTCCGAGGTTCGCAGTTTTCTCGGTCTAGCTGGATATTATCACAGGTTCATTGAGGGTTTTTCCAAGATCGCCCTCCCTCTATCCCAGCTGACGAGGAAGTCTATGAAGTTCGAGTGGACTGATCATTGTGAGGCGAGCTTTCAGGAGCTCAAAAGGAGGTTAACTTCAGCACCGGTGTTGACTATTCCCGATCCTTCTCGGAGCTTCACCATTTTTAGCGATGCTTCGAGACAGGGCTTGCGTTCTTATGCAGGATGGCCAGGTCGTCGCGTATGCTTCACGTCAGCTTAAGCCGCATGAGCAGAATTATCCGACGCACGACTTGGAGTTAGCCGCAGTTGTTCATGCTCTCAAAATTTGGCGACACTATCTTTACGGCGGTCATTGCGAGATTTTTACAGATCATAAGAGCCTGCAGTACATCTTCACGCAGAAGGAGCTTAATATGAGACAGCGCCGTTGGCTCGAGCTCGTTAAGGATTACGACTGTTCCATTCAGTATCATCTGAGGAAGGCGAACGTCGTTGCGGACGCCCTAAGCCGAAAGGTGAGGGGTGACTTGACGTACGTCATTACTCAGCAGAGTCCCTTGATTCAGGAGTTTGCCCGGATGCAGCTTCAGGCAATCGATGCACTTCCCATAGCCGTTTCGGGGAGTACCAGTGCCAGCCCTGCAGCTTCAGCCGACGCTGAGAGAAAGAATCCGGCGAGAGCAGGCTTCTGACGAGTTCATTCGTGTCATAGAGGCCAAGGTTCGCGCCGGAGACGTCGAGGGTTTTCAGCTAAGTGCCGATGGTGCCCTAGAGTTCAGAGGCAGGATCGTGGTCCCGAAGGTTGAGGCGTTGCGGAAGGAGATTTTATCAGAGGCTCATACCGCACCTTATCTAGCCCATCCCGGGAGCACGAAGATGTATCACGACCTGAAAGGGTCGTTCTGGTGGCGAGGCATGAAGAAAGACGTCGCCGAGTTTGTCAGGAGGTGTCTTACCTGTCAGCAAGTCAAAGCCCAACATCAGAGTCCGATCGGCCTCCTGCAGCCACTGCTGATTCCGAGGTTGAAGTGGGAGGAAGTCACGATGGATTTCGTTACGGGATTACCGAGGTCATCTGAACATCACGATGCTATTTGGGTCGTGGTCGACAGGTTTACTAAGGTCGCTCATTTCTTACCCGTTTCGATGAAGATGTCTTTGGATAAGTTGGCTGAGATATATACCCGTGGGATCATCCGACTCCACGGAGTGCCCGTTATGATCGTATCAGACAGAGATCCCAAATTCGTCAGTAGATTCTGGCACAGTTTACATGAGACGATGGGCACGAAGCTAGAGTTCAGTTCAGCCTACTATCCGGAGACAGATGGTCAATCCGAGAGGACCATTCAGACGCTTGAGGATATGCTTCGAGCTTTGGTTATTGACAGGGGTGCTAAGTGGGAGTCATTGTTGCCGTATGCTGAGTTCGCGTACAACAACAGCTATCATTCTTCCATTCAGATGGCTCCTAACGAGGCACTTTACGGTCGCAAGTGTCGTTCCCCTCTTTATTGGGACGACGTCGGAGAGCGACGAGTACTCGGTCCTAAGTTGATCGAGGAGACAGCAGATCAGGTCGAGTTGATCCGGCAGAGACTCAAGACAGCTCAGAGTCGACAGAAATCTTCAGCCGATCATCATCTACGAGACATTCAGTTCGAGGTTGGCGAGCCAGCTTTTCTTAGAGTTCGTCCGATTCGCGGAGTCGTTCGATTCGGAAATAGAGGGAAGCTGCACCCTCGATTCATCGGCCCGTTCGAGGTTCTCGAGCGAGTGGGCGAGGTCGCGTATCGATTAGCCCTACCTCCCGAGTTATCAGGCATTCATAACGTTTTTCACGCATCCATGTTACGCAAATACGTGTGCGACCCCGATCATGTCATTCCTCATTCAGATATTCAGGTTCAGCCAGATCTTTCTACGAGGAGCGACCGGTAGCTGTACTAGACCGTCAGGTTCGTCGGCTCCGGAAGCGAGATGTTACCCTCGTGTGTATTCAGTGGGATCGCCACGGAGCTACTTGAGAGGCGGAGTCCGATATTCGCGCTCGTTTTCCGGATTTCCAGTTTTGATGTACATATTTTATGTTCCATGTACATAGTTCATGTAATATCAGTCATGTTTTGAATTTCCGAGGATGGAAATTTTGTAAGGAGGGAGGATTGTAACATCCCGTCAGCTTATCGGTATAAATTATGTTTTAGTTCCGATATATTAATATTGTCGAGTATTAATTTTCGGAATTAATTATTTTCAGTCAAGATTACCGAAAATTATTTTCGACGTACCGTTTACGTTCGGAATAATTTTGGTAATTATGCATTATATTTAATTTAATAATTAGACATAATTAAGTGATTAATCAACTATTAATCACATTAATGTTTGGATAAGCCGTACGAATTTTGGTGAGGAATTTTCCCAAATTTGTAATCAATTTCCTACGCATAAACGAAGAAATTTTCCTTCCATTTTTTTAGCATTTTTACGTGTCATCAAGAGGGGATTTAAGGGGTGATTAGTCACCCATAAGGCACCCAATTATCTAGCAATTGTCAAGCTAAAGAGTAGCCATGTCTATGTTAATTTATGTCCAAACAATTTGGCCTTGTTCGGTTAGTATAAAAGGAGGGACTTAAGCTGATTTTTCCTCACTTATTTCGGCCTTATATCTCCTCTCTAAATCATAGTAAGTTCAGCAAATAAGTAGTCAAGCAATTTGCCTTAATTCTTCTATACACCACGCACGACAAGAGCAAGCATTTGGACGATTTTTCTCCCAACTTTTCCTTAAGTATAAGTAAGCCATATTCAGCACATCTTCTTCCTAAATATTCATTTCGATCAGCAAGCATTAAGAGGGCAAAGTGTTAGTTCTCGCACGTAAGGGAAGCATCGCACGGCAAGGAGTAGTTGGTATCGCACACGGACACGCGCAATTGAGGTCACGACCAGTTTTGTGAATTTCGTCGAACACTTGAGGAGGTAAAGCTATCCTCAACTCATTTTCATGTCAATAAGTTCATTTTAGGTTGTAGTGTTCGATTTATGTTCAAGAGTTCATAGCTATGCCATGTTAAGGTTCGGTTATGCCTAGTTAAGTTGTGATCG